ATCCATAGAATCACACTTCCTCCAAAGCCATGCTGACTCCAACAAGGCCACACATCCTAGTAGTGCCACTCTCTATGGGTCTAGCATTCACACATGACTCTATGGGAGCCATACCTATTCAAACCACCTCAGCCACCTATCTGTTAGGGACTGTGACTGTGACCCCCACCCCAACTCCATTCACATTGAAGAGCAAACCACCAGAGTCTCAGGATGTGACTGCATTTAGGAGCATCCTTTGCTGTGGCACAAATGTGAAATGTCCCCACAGGCTCATGTGTTTGAACACTGGTATCCAGTTGTAATGTTTGAAAAGTCATGGAAACTTTGGATGGCAAAGATACCCGAGGATTCAGAGTATGATATCTGGATCCTACAAGATGGTAGGAGAGAAACAACTCCTGAGGATTGTCCTCTGACCACCACATGAGTGCAGTGCCTATGTATACATACACACAATAATTAAAAACATACATAATTAAAAATCTAACAATGGAATTCCATGCTCAGCAGGAAGCTGTGCCCTACTCAGTAACAAGCCAATCACTGTAGGGAGACACCCTAGCCCCACCCAATAGTCCTGGGACAGGTGCCAGGTGGACCCGGGACTCGCCCATAAGGGCGTGGTGAAGGAAAGCCAGGGTGACATAAGGGAAGCTTCTTAAGGACTGCACGTGGAGACCCTAGCCCCTTCTTTCTGGCAGCGCTAGCTGGGTTCCTGTGACCTCGCTCTGGCCTGGGTTTTGCCCTGGTGCTTTCTTGAATAAAGAAATCTTACCATCATGGACTAATTCATCCTTGAGCGCACGCTGTACACAATAATCTTCAAATCACCTATATTCTTTTTTTTTAAGATTTTATTTATTTATTATGTATACAACATTCTGCTTCCATGTATATCACCAGAAGAGGGCACCAGATCTCATTATAGATGGTTGTGAGCCACCATGTGGTTGCTGGGAATTGAACTCAGGCCCTCTGGAAGAGCAGCCAGTGCTCTTAACTTCTGAGCCGTCTCTCTAGCATGCCAATCACCTATATTCTTAGAACTCTGTTTTAGCTCACTGGAGAAATCATTTCAGTGATTCCTGCAAGATAAAAGTTATGGCCAGCAGAAGCAGAAATTCAGTTCACTGTCAGTGAACAGTTTCAGAAATTCATCAAGACTAATTCTAGGAGAGAAAATAAAAAACAAAACAAACAAAATTTTGAACCAAGGAGTAATACATTCCCAATAAATTTTGAAATTACTGCTTGTCACCTATGTAAGGGTTCTCAGCTTCATGATGGAGTGTGTGACCAGGACTCCACAAGTTCTTAGTATGGGGGTGCCTATTACCAGAAATTTAGAATTATTAACTCTGAATGTTTAAAGTGGATCATGAGTGACAGCTGCAAATACAGGGGTGTGTGTGTGTGTGTGTGTGTGTGTGTGTGTGTGTAGTAATGCATAAACTAGTGTAGAAAGACCATAAAGAATGATTGTAGTCAGATGACAATGGGTTTCCATCGTGTCAATCATGGTGTCTATAATGTCCATCGACACCAGGGACATTGTAGCTTAGTCAGTCACTTCAGAACTTAGTTTTGTTAGTTGGTTGTGTAGTACTGGGGATTGAATTTAGGATCATGTGCATATTAGGTACCTTAGTCATTGTTCTGTTGCTGTAAAGGACACTGTGACACACAATTGACCAAGGCAACTATTGTAAAAGTCAGCATTTAACTAGGGGCTTCCTTACATTTTCAGAGGGTTAGTCCATCATCATGGCAGGAAGCAGACAGGCATGACACTACAGCAGTACCTGAGAAGGTCACATTCTGATCCACAGGCAACCAGAAGAAAAGAGAGACACTGGTGTGGGCCTTCAAAACCTCAAAGTCCACACACAGGGGTGCACTTCTTCCACCAAGGCCATCCCTCCTCCAGCAAAGTCATACCTCCTAATCCTTCCCAAACAGTTCCACTCACTAGTAACTGATATCAAGCATATGAACCTAGGGGGCATTCTTATACAAATCACATTAGGTAACCATTCTACCACTGATCTATATCATTAGCCTTTAAAGTATTATAAAAACTTACACAGAACACCAGATGTCATCCTAGGATATGTCTCTTTCTTACTGTATGTACTCTGTTGACTTGGCTAATGCATGCTCTTGTCTAGGACCTGATTATTACACTAGTGAGTGGAGGACAAGGCCAACCACATTGACTCTAAGAGTGGTTCTCATCTTCCTAATCCTATGACCCTTTAATACAGTTCCTCATGTTGTGGGGACCTCAACCATACAATTATTTTCATTGCTATTTGTTTTTTTTTTTTTTTTTTTTAGAAAGAGTTTTTCTGTGTAACAGTCTGGGCTGTCCTGGACCTCCCTTTGTAGCCCAGCCCTGCCTCAAACCCAGAGATCTGCCTGCCTCTGCCTCCCAAGTGCTGGGATTAACGGTGTGCACCACCATCCGGCTCAATGCTATTTCATAACTGTAATTTTGCTACTATTATGAATTATAATGTAAATATGTTTTCCAATAGCCTTAATAAGATCACTGTAAATGGATAGTTTGACCCTCAAAGAAGCTGTGACCCACCAGTTGAGAACCACTGTTCTAAGAAACAGGGAAGGGCTGACGGGTGGCGGTGGTGGTGATGCCTTTATAATCCCAGCATTTGGGAGGGAGAGGCAGGAGGATCTCTGTGAGTTCGAGGCCAGCATGGTCTACAGTGTGCCAGGACAGGCTCCAAAGCAATACTGAGAAACCCTGTCTCAAAAAAACAAACAAACAAAAAGATTTGAGTGTATTTGTTTTGTCTACATGTATGTCTGTTTGTTACATGTGTGTCTGATCCCCATGGAAGTCAGAAGAGAGCATAGATCCCCTGGAACTGGAATAAAGGTGACCTCAAGCCACTGTATGGGTGCTGGAATCCAAACACCAGTCCTCTGCAAGAACAGGTATTCTTAACCACTGAGCTGACTCTTCAGGCCTGTGCTTCCTTTTTTATAGTCTTGAACTACTGAGCCTTCTGCCTCCACCCTCTAGTACTGGGGCTGCAGACAAATGTTACCATGTCTGTGCCAAGATATTTGTGTTTAACTTATATTTGCAATTATATTTGTAGACACAAACATTTTCTTAATGGCACTCACACTCACACACACACACACACACACAAAAAAAAAAAAAAAAAACCCTAAGCTTAGAAATAAACTAGTTCTTCAGGTTTATATCAACAATTTACACACATTTGTGTTTTCTAGAAGTAACTGAAATACAATAGTGAAAAAAAAAGAATTTTTCTGACTCCGTATTTGAGTAACATAAACATCTCAGCCTGGTGCTGAAAAAGGCATGGAAAAGTCTGCTCCACAGGTAACTGTCTCATAATTTAAACTATTACTGCAGTGTTGGAAAAGTCTCACTCTTCTACAGCAAGGGGCCTCTCTAACACAATTGTTTTGTGTTTTAGAGCTGTGGAATGGACCAGCTTGTGAAGTTCAAGGTCTGCTGGGGCCATCTCCCCAGCCCCTCAATTCTTAAATAATTCAGCATAACTAGAGTGCTGTAGATCTAAAAGCAGTACTTTCCAAAAAGCTATGGAGAGAGTAAACAAAAATAGTCATAACTGCTACACAGAGAAACCCTGTCTCGAAAAACAAAAAACAAACAAACAAACAAAAAGCCATAGCTGCTTTGAAACTGACTGATGGGAAGATCTAAACTATTTTTATACTTATGGGTGTTTTGCCTACAAACATGTCTGTGTACTGCGTGTGTGCAGTGTCCTCAGGTCAGAGAGGCTGAAACATAGGTGCTAGGAATTGAACCCTGATCCTGTGAAACATAACCAGTATTCTTGACTGCTGAGCCATTTCTCCAGCCCCAGGAAAAATGGTTTTGAGACAAGGCCTTAATGTAGCTCAGGCTGGCTTTGAACTTTTGATGTTCCTGCCTCCATCTCCTGAGTGCTAAGATTATGTTTTGCCACTATGCCCAGTTGCCCCATTTATGCAGAGCTGGGAACCAAATGCAAAGATGTGCACAAACTAGGCAAACACTCCAGCAGGTTCCTAATGTGCAGCTTTAAAGAAAGGTTTTTACTTCTGGGTTTATCATTCATCATTGTGTTTGAAATCTAAAAATATATTCATCTTCTTTTTTTTTTTGAGACAGGGTTTCTCTGTGGCTTTGGAGGCTGTCCTGGAACTAGCTCTTGTAGACCAGGCTGGTCTTGAACTCACAGAGATCCTCCTGCCTCTGCCTCCCGAGTGCTGGGATTAAAGGCATGCGCCACCACCGGCCGACCTATATTCATCTTCTACACAACACCTTCTCCTAATTTTTACACCTGTGTCTCAGAGTTTGAGAGTTTTGGGTATGTCAATGAGTTTGGCTTTCATTTGGAAGTTTTGTTACAGAACACAATTCAAGGTGTTTAATTATATTCAGATGCCTAGGAGTAGAATGAGCCCTGTGCTCCCTTTCTTTTCTTGCATTGTTCTGTATGCCTGATGCCAAAGGAAGTCAGAAGAGGGTGCTGGGTCCTCTAGAATGGAGTTACGGACAGTTGTGAATTCCCACATAGGAATCAATCAAACCCTGGTCCTCTGCAAGAGTAACAAGTGCTCCAACCTCTGAGCCATCTCTCTTGCCCTCTGCCTGCCATGAACATACACATTCATGTACATATTCAAAGAGAATATGTTCTTAACAACAACATTTTTTTAAATTTTACTTTTAAATGTATTTGGCTGCTTCCTCTACATGTATGTCTGCACATGTGTGCAGTGCCTGGTGGCCAGAAAAGGGAGATTCCCTGGAACTAGAATGACAGACAGCTCTGGGCTGCTATGTAGTGCTCAAATTGAACCCCGGTCTTCTTTAAGAGCAACTAGTGCTTTTAACTGAGTCATCTCTCCAGCTCTTGTATGTATTTTCTTCATACTTGTTATTTGTTCACAGAAAATTATAAAATAACTCTCACACACCGAACTCAAACAACCTTTTTTTTTTTTTTTATTTAAAAATCCACCTCAAAATTCAGTTCTGGGTTTTAGTTTTTGTTTAAAAAGAAGCGAACATTTAAAAGCATCCAATGTTACTAGTCTATAGTTCATCTAGTTACGACCAGTTAGCCTGTGGACTGGGAAAACAAGTGTGGACGCGGAAAACAAGCGTAGTACATGGATTAGGCACAGTACTGTGGCCACTGGGCCAGAAATCAGGGTACAGTGTGTACCCAGGCAACAGTTAAGAGGTCTGAAGGGCGGGAGACAAGCCTTGGCCACAGACATTCTGTTCTGTGTCCCCTCCCCAAGCCATGAGTGAGTCTCAGAGTGTATGTAACTTGGGCAGACAGTGGACAATGCTAGCTGCTTTCCAAGTCATATGGCAAAGCCAAGACAGACAAGTGCAATTACAGTGACACTAATTCATGGTCTGAACATCCACGCCAGATGGTGTCATATACAGGTGACAGACTCGGGCACCATTCCTTTGCTAGATTCAGAGATCTGGCTGGGTGGTGTTCACCACTGCGGGATTTCACAGCACAGCAAGGCTTCAATGGTTCGAGAATTGGGGCAGTGAACACAAATCACAGTACAAAATTCTCAATTCATTTACTCACAAAAGCAATAGGTGCTACATATAAGAATCACTTAAAATGACGATTTTTTTTAAAAAATGCGAATATAAAACATTAATTGCATAGGGATTTAAATATAAGGCCAAGAAGAATATTAAGTAAAAAGAATTATAGGAAGGGCACTACGGTGTCAAAGAGAGAATCTCATTAAGAGTAGTAATCTCGAATTACTGTCCACTTAATTCAAAATCACAGTATGCTGCTGTAACTGACAGTGAATGTCAACTGTTTCAGTAACTCTAAACCAATATTAGGATTAACAAAAACCTAACTGAAGCACTTTGTCTAAACCTGATCAGTGTATTAGCACGTCAGTGCCCTGTACGTACCTGATTAGTTATATAATCTACCTTTTGCAAATAATGTTTAATACATGTATGTGAACAAGTGTAGGAGCAGATCACCGATCCATGCAGTGGATGACTTGTGGGCTGAATAGTGTGACTAGTGTCAGTCTCTCAAAGGTGCAAGACCCTGCCCAGCAGGACCTTCACGCAATGAACAAAAAAAACACTGTAATTAACAAAAAATTACAAAGCTCTACTATTAAAACCTAAGTATACATGAGCCAAAGAACTAGGTCTTGACACCAGTATATACATTAGCCCCAGTATTTTGGAAAACAATGAGGAAGAAATCGAAACATATCCTATAGTTTAAGCTAATGGTTACCACCTTTAAGGGAAAAGTGAATTTGTGAACCTGCTTCTCATTGTAACGGTGTTAGCCTGTAGCTTCGGCTGGAATTTCCAGAACTAAAAGTAGCTCATTTCACTTAGTACTGTTATACAGAGTAGTGTGAAGAGACAAAAAAGAACTCCCAAGGGAATTCTGTTAAGGTACATCGGGAAGACCCAAACCAATGTTTTAAATGAAAAAGTGCATCAATAATAATACTACAGGTGTGTTAACTAGGGACAGATTTTCTCTGTGAACTAAAACACTATTTCCCCATATATTTACACATTACAAATTCAATACCACACAGCACCATTTACAATTCAATTTGCTTGAACATGTCTGAGAGGTCCTCTTCTCTGTCCCTGCTTGCTTGAGGCTCTACGGAGAGAGTAGAAGCATCGTCATCGTCTCGGGGCATTTATTGTTTTCCTCAGTTCTCGCTTGTTCGGCAGTGGCAATGCTGTATCTTCACTTTACACTCTTGGTGGGAGTTTCCGATTCTGTGGACTGCCTCCCATCTGTCCAGGCTTCCCGGGTGCTCTTCAGGGCTAGAGTCTTCTGCTGGTCCACCACGACATAATCCACCCTCTCGTCAGCCATGCTGCTGCCTGAACCACTGCTCTTTTGCTAAAAAACAACGAAATCCCCCCAAAGTGCCATTTGTGAGAGTGCTTCTGAGCAAAACTTTAAATAGAAACTGGGCATGGTAGTGCCCAGCACTTGGGAGGCATAGATAGTTAGGTGGATCTCTGAGTTCAAGCCAGCCTAGTCTATATTGAGAGTTCCAGATCAGACAGGGCCACATTGTGAAACCCTGCCTCAAATACAAGCAAACAAGCAAACAAACATAGACATATGCATTTGTGAAATTACATACAAAAGAAGACATTGCCCCAGTTTAACTGTATTGTCTGTCCCCTCCCTAACTAATATTCCCATCACAGATGAAAGTAACAAAAAACCAGGTTCATCTAAAATGTAGAGACTGGAGTCTCTTTAGCTTACATTTGACCTTTTGAGGCCTGGATCAGCACCACACCAACCAGCTTACTCTTAGCCCTAAGAAAAGTAATATTCAAAGGAAAACAAACTACAAAGGGCAATGCCCCTCCCTCTCTCCTAATGTGCAGCTAGATGTAAGGTAACTGAAAATGCAGTTGGTAATGCTCTCTAAGGCTCACTAGACAGCAAAGAAATAGCTAAGATTTGAGGGGAGTGCTGGGGAGGAGAAGCATGCCTCTGTGTGCCAAAGGCCTTTGCCATAGATGTGGAGCGATCAGTGCAATGGGGAGGTGCGTGGGGGGAGGCAGAGAAGGAGTGATGCTGGGGTGGGAAGGAGTGATGCTGGGGTGGGAGTGGGGTGGCTGGAAATCCTCTCCAAGGAAGCTGATGTGGTCCTAGAGTAGTAATCTCAACCGGCTTCTAGCAAGGGAACTAGAGATGTTTTACTCAGGAAATTCGGGTCCTCAAATTTAAACTCTGAATTTGCAATACAAACACATAAATAAAAATGCTTGCCACACTAAGAGGCAAGCCATAAAGAATGTGGGCTAGCAGAAAGGGTAAACATAAATTCCTGCCTCTGAGACTTCAGATACCGATATTACTATATCAAACTATAAATTATGTGCAGAGTATTAATGGGTGAGCCAGAAAAAGCACTAAACGTACAAGTAATAAATACAAAGAGATGAAAATCAGTTAAAGTGAATCAAACAGAATTTTGTTTCAGAGATAAATATGTAAGATAATGAAAAGCAACAAAAAAGAAAACAAAACAATAAAAAAACCCCAAAACAACAACAACAAAAAGAACTGAGAATTAGTAAACTTGGTGATAGAGCTAAAAATTATCTAAAATTAGACAGAGAAAACATAGGACAGAAAAATACGAAGATGTGGAAATAGAAAGTGTACTGTGTCTTAATTGGCAGGTAATAAAGGAATAAGCAGGGAAGCAATATGTTAAAGCTGTGGTGACAGACTTTTTGGGAACTGACAAAAGGTTATAGATGGGGGTGGGCTGGGCTGGGGTAGCACAAGCTCTACAGAGCAGGATCAGTAGTGAAAAGAAGTATATTATATTATCTACACACACTCTCATGAAATTGCAAATTCAGACAGGAAAGAGCTGAAAGCAGCCAGATGACAAAAAGGACATGCACAAAGGGAACCTTCCTTCACAGGGGGGTCCCTAAGTGGTAAAAGGCTCCATCAAGAACTGGTTGCAGTAGTTCAACTCCCTGCCAGTACATGACAGTGTTCTTTCCAACATAGGAAACAGAGCCTTTCTCATTCTGTTGGGAGACAGTGTCATGTCAACACAACTGTGCTGAGCTTTTCTCTGGCACAAATAATGACATCTAATATAAGCAAACTTTTCAACTGTTTTCAAACTTTATTTTTTATTTTATTTTATTTTATTTATTTTTGGCTTTTCGAGACAGGGTTTCTCTGTGGCTTTGGAGGCTGTCCTGGAACTAGCTCTTGGTGACCAGGCTGGTCTCGAACTCACAGAGATCAACCTGCCTCTGCCTCCCAAGGGCTGGGATTAAAGGCGTGCACCACAAATGCCCATCGAGAAGATGGTCTTTCTAAGTGTGCTTGAACCATCTACTGGGTGCATCTCACTTACCTTCCGAGGCGGTGTGGATTTCCCAGAGTCTAGGTCTAGATCTAAGTATTCGACTTGTTTATCTCCTTTGGGCTTGATCATAGAGCTGCTCCCTCCATCAAGGCTGTTACTGCCAAAGAGATTCTGAAAGCACAGCACAGCAAACATTCAGGAGACACACTCTCCCCAACCCCAGCTTCTTTCCCTGGGGGATGGGAAAGGTTCACTATGTGTCCAAGACTGGTCTTGAGCTCCTGGACTCTAAATTAAATTTAGTTAAAGCAAGACTTGGCTTAAGGAAAGCCAGCCGGCAGACGACTACAAGGGGAGGCTGTCATATTTCTCAGTGGTGTAGCTATCTTGCTACTGGTAAGCATCCCTTGCTCAAGCAACTAACCCCTTATCCATGCTTGTGCAGGCAACCTATCCCAAGCACGAACACATGTATGAAATTGTGAAGAGCAATAATAAAATAATAAAAACACTTAGACATCAAGACACAGATGGCTGCAACAGCTTAAGTAAAGATTCTTTTTTGTTTGTTTGTTTTTGTTTTTTGAGACAGGGTTTCTCTGTGTAGCCCTGGTTGTCTTGAAACTCACTCTGTAGACCAGGCTGGCCTCAAACTCAAAGATCCATATGCTTCTACTTCTTGAGTGCTGGGATTAAAAGGCGTGTGTCACTATGCCTGGCTTGATGTCAGTATTTTTAAATGAAGGATGCTTGGTAAAGACTAAAACAGTTTAGAAGATTTGTATATGTACCCAGCTCAATTACATTTTTATAGTGAGGGACGCTCATATGTCTTGTTTTTAAAGGGTGGAAGGATCTGGGAGGACTTTGGGGAAGGGAAGAATATGGCCAAAACATATTGCATGGAAAATTTAAAAATAAATATCCACATTTAATGTTAAGCTATTTAGAGAAAAACAGTTCAGAGTATGTTAACTGAAGGGTATGGATCATGACCGGCTCCACTTTCTTCACTTAATGCCCTCTGTTTCCTTTCTCTTAGCCCGATCCCTTCCTTCCTCAAGGGAACTCGGCATGATAAAATGACTCTAAAATCGGGTGACCAGAGGGCAACACAAAAAGCTTGAGGTGGTGAAGTGAAAACAGACTCTGGCAAGGACTTTCCGACCAGCAGCACAGCTCACAAAGATTAGAAACATCTGGGTGCCCAATTAAAGTGGCTGGCACCCTCTTTTCCTAAATTATGAAAAAACCAAAACCTCTGCAATACACAATCACACTTTCTTCCCTCTGAGGGACAGCACTCTCAACTTGAGTGGAGGTAACACTCTGTGTCTGAAGGTGACCAATGAAAACACACTCACATTTCACCCTGGCTGGGGCAGTTACTACAGTATTAAAAAGCTATAAAAGTGATATATAAATTCCTAGTACCCACACAGTTAATTCCAGCTAGCTGTTCCTCAGAAAACTGTCAGCACTCATCAGCCAAATTCCATGTCTAATTAACAGTAGAACTGGACTTTCTTTTCGTCTTAAAGTAGGGCTGAAATTTAGCTTCTAAAAGGAGTCTGTTGGCTCCTGGTCCAGTCTCAGTGGGGAACAGCCCATCTCCTCACTAGCCTTGCACCCAGTACTTTCCCCACACAGTTGTTAGAGAAATTCCAAGATTCTGAGACCCCTTTATAAGCATTCTGCACATTAAGTAACAAAACAAAACAATAGAGTTTGTTGTTTTAAAGTTCATAAGAAATATACAGAATTGATTGATGTTTTTGTTATTATCTAACAGCATTTATGGCAGTAGTGTTGGACCACGACTTGAATTTTAGGCGACCCGTTAAGGGTTCATTTGATGAATATGTGACTTGATCTTTACGTACAAATCAGATGTGGTATGAATTTGTCCTAACTTTTTGGAAACTGTTTTTGTTTTTTTTTTTTTTAACAATGATTTAATAAACCCAAAACCATGTTAGAGCATGTGAATTTCCATGGCATTCCATCAATACATTGTGTTCCAACAGCTAAGAGTTCCAAGGAATCTTAAAATCACACTCTTTTCTGATGAAGGGCTGTGTGGGCCACTGACTCCTGGCAGTTGACAGCATGGGGAGTGGGAAAGGACACTGTTGCCTTTTCAGTTGTACCTGGCACACAGTAATTTCCACTTGGGTCGTTAAAAAAAAACTGTACATGTATGTGTTTGTATGTGGATATGTACATATGTGTGCAGGTACTCACAGAGGCCAGCAGAGGGCACCCTCTGAAGTGGGTGATAGGAACTGAACGTGGGTGATCTTAGCTGCTAGGTCACCTCTCCAGCCCCAACTTGAGCCACCATGGCTTATTTGGATATTTTAAAAATTCATCAGCTCATGTTTATTTGGACATATCAGGCAAATCAAAGTACTTTCCTGCCCTTCACGTCATATGGCACACACCATTTTAAATCTTATTTCTTCAGTTTGACTCCTTATTGCAATGTCTTTCTTTCTAGTCTTCCCTTTAGCCTAACTGAAAGATCAGAGACCTTCTGCATAAGACAATTCTTCGAGAAGCCCAGAATAACGTGGGCCTGGAGGATTTCATTGTAACACACTGCCAGTGGATTTTCTTGACAACTGTAAGAAATGGCTAAGAATATTTAAATGAACTATCACTGTAACGACTGTAAACCCCTACAGTACGGATGTGAAACACCCTTCAAAGGGCGATGTGTAGGAGGACTTCATCTTCACAAAGGCATTATTGAGGGTTTTTATGTCACTGGGTCACATCCTGAAGAGGGTGTGAGATCTTGGCTCTTTCTCACTTCGATATAGGTAGATCTGCCACAGCCATGTGTCACCACAGGCCCAAAGCAACAAAACTGAGCAACCACAGACACTCTTAACACTCTTTTGTAAGTTGGTTGGGGAGTTGTTTCAGCAGAGCAAAGCTAACACAAAACCTTCACGTTTTCCAATGATTCACAACTGTAAGGACAGAACAATTTGACCGTGGCTGGTATTAGACTGTGACAGTACTTAAAAGAAGTATGCAGATGGTAAGAGCAGTTGAAGATGATGGTTTCAAAGGGCAGCTCAGGCAGGGAGAGATGAACATGAGGACTACACATACCGGATCTTCACTGGACAGGTTTGGGTTCATGGGGACATAGTTTTCTTCACTGTCATGAGAGTCGCTGCTCGATGTCGTACTGTGCACAGAATCAGGTCGAGGGGACATGGGGAATCTAGAGGAGCTAAGGACAGAAATGAGCATCATGAATGCTAGGAACGGTTGTTAGATAACTCCCATATACACATAAGTGATAACATTAATTCTTTTAAAAATATTCATTAGTTTACAGTTACACATTGGACATTTTTATTATAACACATGAGAGTTTTGACTTTATAGAACCTTGGTAGGAGCCTATTCTCTAGGCTGTTGTTCGACCTATTGCCCTTGAAATAGGCATTTTATAAAGCTATTTCATAAAATAGACTATTTTAATTGTCCTGCTATCCAAACTCCGTATTTTCAGCAAAACACTTACTTCCGAGCGAAGCTCCTGGTGATGGGAGATCTGACTGGGGCTTGCAGCTCTTCCCACTCTGGCAGTGGCTTTATTTCCAGAGGTGCTGGCTTGGCTAGAAAGAAAAAGAAGAGAAGGTCTGGGCATGCAGGGCCTCAAACAGCAAACAAGACCCTCTCAATCTCTCAGTCCCTCAGTTTGTACTTGGTAGCAGACACTGTCTTACAAGAACAAGGCCTACAGCATCAGAGCCAAATGCTCAGTGACAAAAGCTAAAATTCCAGGCATGACCCTCAAGGTCCAAGCTGCATTACTACATGCCTGTTTCTTAATGAAAATACACACCTTGTAGATATACATTAAATGAGAATGTACAAGTATGAATTCCTTTAAAGTTGTGAGCACTATTCTCACTAATCCATTGTTTTACACATATCACCTTCACGGGATTTAATCATCTGTGTGAAACGTACTCCCCACTACTGAAGCATCAGTGTATAACAACACATGTAAAAGGATGTGTTGAAAGGACTGGAAACTCAGCTATACCCCAAACCAAAAGAATCATCAAAAATTTCCCCAGGTTTCCTTACATTTTGTTCAAAAATATGTGATCTTAATCAACTATCTTATAAATACCACGAGAGCAGAAAACAGTCATTTCAAAGCTACAGGTCACACAGGCTCATAGCTTAAGACAGTTACCGAATCCGAGTTAAGAGTTTTACCTATCTATACCCTTAAAATAGACACCTATAACATACTGGCTGAATGAAGGTGCCTTTTCTTCAAGTTCCATTTTTTACTTTTATTTTACATAGAAAGGTGAATAAGAGTTTAGCTGTCAATTTCAAAGTCAACATTGAAATTATTCTTTATTCTATTTCAGAACAGAAAACATACATATACAAAGACAGGAGACAACTGGGGCTCACAGCAGCCCATAAGCAAAAGCAAAACAACCTGCTGCTGCCTAGAAAGTTAAGGGAATAATGAGGAGACAAGGCTGACTATAGTGGACATGTAATCAAATATTCCCCGTGTAGCTACTGCCTGTCAGAAAGAACAGGCTCATTGGGCATCTTCAGATGTACTCTTTAGAAATAATATACTGGGAAGCAATTTGCAATAGAAGTACTACTAAAGCTCCCTTTTCTTTTTCTTTCAAAGAAAAAAAGTATAAAAATACACAGATTTCCCAATGCCCCATGTAAGTACATACCCTTTCTTCTTGTAGCAAAGTCAGCTATGGTTTGTGAATCAGTTCGCTCTAAACCATGGGGTTTGGGTCTTAAAATTTTAGGACTCTGACCTAATTGGTAAAAAGAAGACTCACTTATTACAATGTTATTTTTATATTGAAAAATGGATTCTGTTAAAAAAAAAAGCCACAGAGACACGTGCAGAAATGTGACATAATAAAAGCACAAACAAAAATTTGTTAGTGAAAACCATTCAGTCTCTCGGGCCATGGTTCATGCTTGGTACAATGAAATGAAGGAACATGCATGCTACGGCGTGACAGGCACAGGGGACCAGGAGAGGGCTGGGTTAGGGAGACAACCAGCTGCTTAGTCTTCTTTGCTTGAAGAAAGGGAGGAAGAACATGTACCATGTTAGTGTTTCTTCTAACATGTCTTAGGAAACTAGACAATGCAGCCTCTACTTGTGTTCCTCTGCAGAGAGCCCAGGTGGCTCATCCTTTGGAGTTCAGTGTTGAGTTCTCCAGGTCAGCTTGTGATCTTACAGCACTCTGGACCCCATGATCATACATGGAGTCTGTCCACTCACCTCAAGCAGATAGGTGCTCAGAACTGTTCTTAGATGGGGTCTGTTACTACTCTGAGTATTTGGACATGGCATGGGCATGACCATCTGAACACCAAAGACCACTGGCACATGGAGGGTCTATTATGTAACCACACAAACTGCAACTGGAGTTATCTTCGGTTTGTTGTTGACACAGTGGTAATCAGAGTAAAGCCAACTGTAGCTTTACTTTGCTCCTGAATTTTTCTCCTCAGAACTCTTTAAAATTTTTTGTTTGTTTGAGACAGGGTGTCCCTACTTAGCCCTGGAACTCATTATATAGACAAGACTGAATTCAAACACACGGAGATCCACCCGCCTCTGCCTCCTGAGTGCTGGGATTAAGGGTAGGCATGAGCCACTATGCCAGGCTGTACTCGCCAAACCTTATCTGTGTTTGCTTAAATAATGGCTGCTGTCTATGGTTTCTCACATTTCTGTAACTCCATACTTCAACTGCCTGTAATTGCTTTCCAGTATTTAATGGATCATACCTCCAGGCCAACAGCCTTAGCAGGGCTAGCACAGGGTGTAAGATTAAGATCTCTTTATTCCAGAAGACACCAAGGTAAAACACAGGCCAGAGCTAGGTTATAGAACCCAGCCAGCGAGGCCAGAACAAAAGGTGCAGCCCCTTAAGAAGCCCCCTTACGTCACCCCGGCTTTCCTTCACCATGCCCTTATGGGCGAGTCCTGGGTCCACCTGGTACCTGTCCCAGGACTATTGGGCGGGGCTAGGGTGTCTCCCTACAACAGGGGTTCAAAATTTCGGGGCTGTATGAGAAGCCTGGCTCCTTTGAGGAGCAGTATCTGGACTAAGCACACTAGGGAAGGGACAACTTTGAAATGAGAGGCATTAAAATAGAAGGAACAGGTCACTCAGGGGAAAGAGAGCCTGTGTGAGTTTAGGCCTGGTGGCTGCTGCCCAGAATGATCTCAGCTATGAAAACTAGTGAGACTCTTTACAAAAAAAAAAAAAATGTTTTAAAAAATAGAACATCAATCTTCAGAGGTCCCTTCTCCTGTTTCTACCAGGACAAACAGTGGGGTGGGGTGTCCACAGACAAATCAAGGGTCTAATGACGGGAGTCCCCTGATGTCCTCTGAACCTGCTAAATGCTTAGCTATCTAAGCAATGATTCTGTTTTAATGTCCCCCCCCCCCCCGTATTTTATAGATTTTTTTTTCTGGGTGGGGTGGTTTCAAATAGGTAAAGCAGGGAAAGTTCTCATTTATATCCCCTTAAGTCTCCTCTATTAAAATCTTATTGTGGTAAAACAAAAAAACCTATGTTTACAGGAAGAAAAATAAGAATAAATTTACTATTTGGGTTCTTTCCTTCTTCCTTTCTTCCTTTCTTCCTTTCTTTCTTCCTTCCTTCCTTCCTTCCTTCCTTCCTTCCTTCCTTCCTTCCTTCCTTCCTTTCTTTCTTTCTTTCTTTTTTGAGACAGGGTTTCTCTGTGTAGCCCTGGCAGTCACAATGCAACCAAGAGGCACCCAGTGGCCCTGCTGTGTAAGACAGCACAATGGAGCAGGCAGACCCTTTCCATGAATTACACCAGACATGCAATGATTTTTGCAGACAACATGTAGTTAGCGGAGGATCTGTCATGAAAGCACAGTGAAGATGCCCTTCTCACCGCACTCTACATGAAGTGCTCTGCACTGGCCAGACTGTCCCCGGCTGTTTCTCAGACACAACAGTATCATTCAGTCCTTTTCTCCATGCCGTCACTATATCACCCACCAGTGCTTCAAGAATCCACATCCCTCGTTCCTCCTCTCTACACAAAGCTCACTAAATCACATTCTGTAAGACTGCCTTGAGATGCATCGTGGCCCTTAACGACCAATAACGAAAATGGACCGAGGACTTCTGGTAGCCAGTGATTGCCTGAACTCACCTAACCCTCTCCGAGCTCTTGAATGAAGGTCTGGTTAGAACCAAAAATTCAAGCTATCACTGAGGAATGAGGGAGACTGTTAAGAGTCACAAGAATGGTGACAGTGCCAATAGAATTAGAACTTTCTGAGTCCAGGTCGAGGATTCATTTTCTTACCACCCTGTGCCTACCTGGAATCCTATCACGGCTGTTCTACTTGCATACTTTGTCTTTTCAATTGCATTTAAACTATTACATAGGTAGTGCCTTCACAACTAGGAGACCTCTTGTTTGTTACTATAAATAAAATGTAAGTAGGCACTAGGGAGGTGGTTTAGTCGGTAAAGGAGGAGGAGGAAAAAAAAAAATCAAAAACTGTTATCTAGAAAACATTTGTCTCCCAGAAGCCAGTGTGCTCAGCACACTACCACAGGCCATGCTTGCTTCAAACACACAGGTACAATCCCTTTTGAAAAGCCCTGCACACCAATGGTATCCTCAAAGGTAATGCTACACGAGAACTCTCTGAATTAGCTTATAATAACATAGCCTACATTATTACTCTTCTAAAGTTCGCTATTATTTCTAATGGGCACCCCCAAAATTAAGGTAGAAGAAAAGTAACTCCCAAAGGCACTCTCTTCCCTAATTTCAGCAGGTAATTCTTGTGAAGAAAAAACAAAAAACAAAAAACAAAAAACAACAACAACAGCAGCAAAACATTTTTTTTTTAAAACAGACTCTGTGTAAGGAGGAATGCAATAATTTAATAATGATAATTCTTACACAGGGGAAACTGTTTCCAGCTAGTAAGGCTATGCTGTAAGAATATATTCCACACTTATTTCCCTTAAGCCATATTATCCCCAGTCTGATTTAGGATTCAAACACTAACTCCTGTTTATTAAAATGAGTGAAGGGGTTGAAGGGATGGTTAAGAGTGATTAAGAGCACTGGCTGCTCTTGCAGAGGACTTGGGTTTGATTCCTAGCACAATAAATCCCTATACAAACAGATACAGCTAGACAAAACACAGAGAAACTGTATCATTGGTGACTCTAACCTCTGGAAAGATGGAAGTAGCGGAGTCGGGGCAAGCCAGTGATTAAGCACGCACTTTTTGTGTGATGGCTTACTTTTACTGACACCCAACAGATTATTTTATAAAAGTTTTCCAAACTTCACTCCATTGCTTTTCCATTTTAAAAGCTAAGACTTCACAGCTACTGGTGCTGTTCTGCTCTGTTTCTGGTGACTTCTCTGCTTTTTGGGTATCTCTTACAATGTGCTTAAAGTGCTGCTTATTCAATGCACGTAAAATCTGGCTCAGAACAACACTCCGGGACAGGACAGTGAACGCTGAGCTACCACTAAATGTCGGACTGCAAAGAGCCGGAGCCACAAATCAGGTGTCTGGCATCCACAGCATCTCTGTCCTTCTACAGCTTTGATGAGGCAGGAGCACTTGAAAAACTGGCCAGTACTATACTATGACAGCTGATGTCTCAAACTGGGGCATAAACAAGACTAGACTATTCCTTGTTTGTCACAGACTCTTTCAAAGAAAGCAATCGCAAGAAAACAGCTGAGGCTCTGAGAGGAATCAAACGCATCTGACAAAATCAGTGTATCTTATGAGTTAGCTAATAAGAGACACTGAAATAACAGCTCAAGCAATTTATTGGGGGCTACTGAACTGGCAGCTAAAATACTCACTTGTTGCAGGAACAGTGAGAAGCCTCTCATGGCCAAATGAGAAGCTTGCTCCCAGCACACATATTCAAGATAAACTTAGTTGTGAGATTGTGATTCCAGTTTTTATTTTATCTTGGTTAGTGTTTTGAGACTGTATAGCCCTGGCTGGAACTTAGAAAGATCATGAGCACTGGACCCATCTGGTTGGAATCTGGGTTTTTTGTTGTTGCTGTTTTGAGACAAGGTTTCTCACTGTAACCCTGGCTGTCCTCGAACTCGCTCTGTAGACCAGGCTTGCCTCAAACTCACAGAGTTCCACCCGCCTCAGCATCTTGGGTGCTGGGATTAAAGGTGTGCACCACTGCCGCCCAGTAATTTCTTTTGTTTTTAATTACGTGTGTGTGTGTGTGTGTGTGTGTGTGTGTGTGTGTGTAGGGTATGTGTATGTATGAGTACAGGTGTACCTGGAGGCTTAAAAAAGGTTTGGATTCCCTGGAGCTGGAGTTATAGGAGAGTGAGAGCTGCTGGCCATGGGTGCTGGGAACTGAATTCTAGTCCTTTTCAAGAGCCATCTTTCCAACCCTGTCTTTAAAAAACATGTTTTATTATTATTATTATTAGTTTTTTGAGACAGGGTTTCTAACTGTAGCCCTGGTTGTCCTAGAATTTCACTCTGTAGATCAGGCTGGTCTCAAACTCAGACATCTACCTGCCTTCCCAGTGCTGGCATTAAATGCATTCACCACCACTGTCAGGCTTGGAACCTAGGTTTTAAACTGTGCTTTTCTTTTCTTTTTAAAGATTTATTTATTTATTTATCTATTTATTTATTTATTTATTTATGTATGTATGTACAGTGCTCTGTCGCATGTATGCCTGCACACCAGAAGAGGGCACCAGATCTCATTATAGATAGTTGTGAGCTACCATGTATTTGCTGGGAATTGAACTCAGGACCTCTGGAAGAGCACCCAGTGCTCTTAATCTCTAAGCCATCTCTCCAACTCCTAAACTATGCTTTTCTTAACAGTTATAGCTTCTCAGGGTGAGCTGACAAAGTATCCCTCATTCAGCAAACACTTTCCCAGGCCTCCTCCTTGGTATCCCATTGATTGGAATTAAAAGTACATGTGTGTATGTAATTTATGAGGCAGTATATGTCATAGTATGAAACAGACCTAAGATAACTACATAATAATACAGGACATGCCAGCAATGTCAGACTCAGACCCTCTGCCTTTCCCCGCTCCACCCTACCTCTACTTTTATATGGAGCCTAAAGATAACACAACTCCTTAGTTGGGGGTTAAAAGGCAGAGATTACAGCTAACACGAACAACCACAGGCAAATAACATGCTGGTTTAATGTTTTAAAAAGGATCTCAATACTTTGTGCCTACTGTGTGTACTGATCTTTTAGTGATCTGTGACCCACTTATGGATACCTTAATGTTCACTTACAATTTATGCCAAGAAGAAAACAATTAGTGAGATTTCTAACCGAGTTAAAGACAAGGACAAACAAAAGGGACAACAAAAACCCTGTGGCATTTGAACCCTTCCTAAAACAACTGCTGATCTTGATCAAGAAGAATGGGTGAGGGAGGCTGTGGGTGAGACCAACAGCGGGTATCTGCCTCAAGAGCAGCTAGGCTGCCTGGCCAGCTGTGTGTGCAAAGACAACCTGGACCACTTGAGTGATATCTAACCAATCTGGAGCCTACAATGATGGAAAAGGCAATTAGAAGCAGATGTGGACAGGGCAAGGGCACAGAAGGGATCCATGCATAGAGCTGAGGCCATGGAGAGGCGCTGCAGGCCAAAGATTGCAGGATCCAATCAAGGTGGAGAAAACAGGGAGGGAAAGAGATAGGGAGAGAACAGGTGGATGCAGAGACCCCCCCCCACATACAAGCGTACAGGGTGAAGATCACGGACTACCATACAATGTCAGCAGAATACATCCTTACTGTATAAGAATAAAACCAAACCCTTTAGTCCGAAGTAGTCTGAGTCTCAGGCTCTGGTCCCCACAACTACAACATCATTCGTGGTAATGATTTAAGCCCAGGTTAATAAGAAGTTTGCATAAACATTACATCTCCTGAAAAAGCTATAGATAGCATGTGGCTTTTCAAATGACTTTAACTCCCCTGCAAAAAGCCAGGAACCTATCATACCACACAGTCTAACTTTAGTTGGTTATCAAGACTAAGGCATATGCAAATGCTGTGCTGGGCACAGTGAGTTATATTGAAAGGACTTATCCAAATTTGTTTTGTTTTTGAGACAGAGTCTTAATATACATCTCTGGGCGACCTGGATCTATGTAGACCAGGCTGGCTTTGAATCAAAGAAATTAGCCTGCTTCCCAAGTACTGGGATGCAAAGCACTGGCCACTATGTTTGGCTTGCACCCAAGGTTTTAAAACTTGAGGAGACATTATCCAAAGGGGCTGAGAAGTTTCCTCTGGAGAAGAGGACCAGGCCAAATAAGCTCTGCTGCTTCAAACCCAACTTCCTTCGAAAGTCCAGAACGAGGGCATTCTGGAGCTTCTGCCTATCCCAGAGCCAAAGCAGACTTTTTTTTATTTTTAAAGTTATGATGTAGGATAAGAGAGAGATTGTACAGACATGGCCACTATTATTACATAGTCAATCAAGTGCATTATAATCTTAAATCTAATTTGATTCAATACAAAACAGCAAGGGAAGGTCATATCTAGCGTTAGGTTTGGTTTGCAATTCTTTATAAAAGCAAAATAGCTGGCAGAAATTAACAAGAAGAAGAAGAAGAAGAAGAAGAAAAAAAAAACAATCAAGAGGATGATACACATAAACCCCTAGATTTCAGGTCACTTTTGACATGTGCCAGAGTGACACGTCAGTGCAGTGGGACAGCAAGGCTCCGGGAGTCAGGTGCTTCGGGAAGAACAATACAGGTTCTCCTAGTGCTTGCCTGCTGCCCCCTTTGCCCTGGATATTTAGTTTGTAACCACTATTCTAGATTGAGGCAACTTGGAAATCCCAACCAGGCATCAACATATTCATTTACCAATAGCAGGATTTCTGTACTTAAGTTAAGGTCCTCGGTTGTATGAAGTGTTTCAGATTATTGCCAGTTGGTTCTGTGTTTAGGTATGGCTAAAGGCAGCCCTCCCTGCAACCCTCCCTTATCGTTTTACTAGCCACAGTCCCCTTACCTTTTCTGTCTGGCTTGAGGTTCCTATCGACTGGGGGTGGTTCACAGTCAGCAACAGGAACAGGCCTCCTGGGAGGAGTCTTTGGGCTGGACCTGAAGCCCAAATGAGCAGGAGGAGGGACTTGCATCCCAAATGAAGAAAAATCAAATGTCCCAGGGGTCATTGGCACATAATTTGGTTCCTGAATTGGTTCCGTAAAGCTGCTGGAATGTTGTCGTGGTGGCGAGTTGGGATTCATGGGGACATAGTTTTCATCCAGTTCTTCACTTGAGACACTTCCCACTGTCAACACATTTTTGATTTTCTAAAACACACATACATTTCTCTTAGTAAGCAAAGCCCCTGTCACACATGAAGACACAGTTATCAATCATATCTGCTCATAAGGGATCTGTAGTCAGTTTCATTTCATGGTCTCAGAGTCCTGGGGTACTAAGTTAAGAAGATTCAGAAAATGTCACAGTCAATTATACTTACAGACTGGTTATGGAAGCCTTCCAGGGAACTAGATCTATCGCTTGGAAAGGTTCGTGGAATATCATAGCAATCTTGAGAACTAGCATCTGGAATCAAGTAAAAACTGTCAGTTTTTGTTTCCATTTTGCCAGCTTGCAGGTGTTCTATTCCCACGTCACACTTGTCCGTGCACACAGACTCTTCAACCTTCAAAGGACACTCATCAAACAGGGTCTCAAGTGGGCACATTAAACACACACCTATATGTTTACCAGTACCATGATCTGACTATGACAGCAATGGAATGGCCAAGTCTGGCAAGAGGAGGGCTATCTAAAGATGGAGAAAAGAAATGGTACCCACCTTGAGGCTAATATTTCATTGACTTATAACTAGGTTTTACAGCCTCTTTGGAAAGAGAGAAGACCGTGTGTGGTGGGGTCACACCTACAACCCCAGTAATGAGGGGGTAGAAACAGGAAATCAGGAGTTCAAGGTCATTCTCAGGGCCACATGAGATCTTGTTTCAGGAAGAAAGGAAGGGAGGGAGGAGAGGGGAGGATGGCAGGGAAGGGAGGAGGGGGGGAAGGAGAGGATGACAGGGAGGGAAGAAGGAAGGAGCAGAAAATTTAAAATTGGCATTGGAAGGCTGAACACATACTGATAAAATATTTTTATGGTAATATTAATTCTTTGGCTTTTTTGCAACAACTAGAAAACTCTACCACAAAATACAGAAATGCCAACACACAGTTTTTAGGGCATTGCTCCTAAAACATTTTCTTTTAAATTTTAAGACTTTAAAATCTTAGAGAAACAATGATTCTAGCACAAAAAAACAGACACATAGACCAATGAACTAAGAAGGCCTAGAGATAAACCTAAGCAGCTACAGCCTCCTGATGGTTTTCACAAAGATGCCAAAAATACACATGAGAAAACACAGACTCTTCAATAAACAGTGCTGGGAAAACTGGCTATCTACCTGAGAATAATGAGACTAGATCCCAGGAGCTTATCCTGCAAAAATCAACTCCTGGTGTATCAAAGACCTTACTGTAAGACCTGAAAGTCTGAAGTTGCTGGAGGAAAAAGAGAGGCAGAGGCAGAGGCAGAGGCAGAGGCAGAGGCAGAGGCAGAGGACATTCTCAGCAGGGCATCACCACCTCGTACATAGAGCCAGCAACTGACAAATGAGACCCCGTGAAATTAAAATGTTTTTGTGCAGCCAAGGGAGCAAAGGGAGAAACCAATCAAGTGAACAGACAGCCTACAGAATGGGAGAAAGTCTTTGCCAGCTATACACCTGACAGAGGACTGATACCAAGAATAAATTCAAAAAACAAACAAAACTACCTAGCTCAGCAGTTCTCAACCTGTGGGTCTTGACACTTTTGGGGTCAAACAACCCTTTCACAGGGGGTTCTTAAGACCATTGGAAAACACAGATATTTATGTTATGATTCATAACAGTAACAAAATTACAATTATGAAGTAGTAATGAAAATAATTTTATGGTTGGGGGGGATGTCACACACCATGAGGAACTGTAGGTTGTAGGTTAGGAAAACTGAGAACCGCTCACCTAGCCAATAAATGGGCTAATTAAATGAGTATCCAGCACACAAAGGAAGAAATACAAAAACCTGTTTCACCTCACTAACTGTCAGAGAAATGCAAGTTAAAAATACATTGAGATTCTCCCTAGTTAGTATGTTGGTCATTAAACAAAAACAAACAGACTCAAACCCAAATCCAAACCAAGACCACAAAAACAAAAACAAACAAACAAAAAACAACTACTAAGTGCTGGCAAGGATGAGGACAAAAGAGGACTTTCAAACATTGCTGGTAGGAATATGAACTAGAGCAGCCATTGTGGAAGTCAGTATGGAGGCTTCCTAAAAGCATAAGTAAAAACGCATGTACCTTATGAGGCAGCTACTCCACTCCTGAGTATTTCAGAGTGGCAGATCAAACAAGTGCACATCAGTGTTCTCTGTGTCCAACAGCAGAAGGATGGATAAGGAAAGTGTGCTATATACACAGTGGGATTCTTTTCAGCCATAAAGAAGAATGAATTTGGGCTGGCCAGAAGGCTCAGCAAATAAAGGCACTTGCTGCCAAGCCTGGGGACCTGAGTTTGTTCTCTGGGACCCACATGGCAGAAGGAGAGAACTGACTCTTGAATGTTGTCCTCTACTCACCTACACATAATAAGTGAATAAACAAAGGCAAAAAAAAAAAAAAAGAATACCATCACGTTATTTGCAAGAAGATGGATGTCACTTGAGATAACTACATTAAAGGAATTGAATCTCATAAAGATAGATGACATGTTTCACAGTTACCAGATTTTATATTGATACACAAAATCGTATGTAACATGAAAGTAGAGATCAAGGAGAACCAACAAGAAGGGGAGGAAAGGAAAGATAGGGGACATAGGGACAAGATGGTCAACACATGGTATTCATACTGTACAAGAATTTAAGACTCTTAGAGAATAAGCCAGACTCATTTCCCACTCCTAAAGTCTTCAGCTTGTGTTTGCACAAGATGGAGTAAAACAAGTGTCAGCTAAGGTGGAAAGAGAGGAGACTCAGTGCTCTAAAAATTGAAAAACAGGAACAGCATAATGGTTTGATTTGAACAGCATCATCGCCTATTAAGACAAAGCCCCAAAAATTGCTGATAGGGGAGAGAAGGCAGAAAACCCAAGAGAGATATGACATAGAAGTGGTCATGATGACACACAGACACAGGCAAGGACACGGCTAGAAGTATTTCTGTTCAAACAGCCCACTTCTATAGAAGCCCTAGAAGGTGGGAGGGAAAGACCACAATTTTCTAGGCATGAGATCATCTTTTCTAACAGAGCAGGCAGGCAAACAGACAGACAGACAGGCAGACAGACAGACACACCCTTCAGGGATGCACTGACTCTGATATCAGGACTATATGTGTGGGAGCTGCAGGGCTACATTAGAAAAGGAATAAATACCCTTTAACACCATGTTATACTGAAAAGAACAATTATTCGGTTTTCCTGAATGTATATGTATGTGTCTGCATGAAGGTGGCATACGTGTACATGTGTGTGTGGGTTTGTTTGCCTGTGTGCCTACAGTGAGTGGAGACAAGAGGCATGCCCTCCTCAATCACTCTACTGGCAGGGTTACAAACTTGAGCGGGTTCTGAGATCTGAGGTCCTATGCCTCAGCATTAAAGGTTCTGACCCATTGAGCCATGTCTCTAGCCCCTCAGAGAAACAGACTTTCTATCACTGACCCCTAGTAGAGTGGAACCTGCTGGAGCTGACCTTTCCGTAACTTGTTCAAATCCACGGTGGAAATGGTATTACTCCGGGAGGGTGGCATGCCAGCTGTAGGGACACAGTAACTGCTGTCGGTGTCTGAGGCTGTGCGTGGGGTGCCACACGTTTCCACAGGAGACCGGTCATGAGTTGGATGTGGCTTTGGTGGCCGAGGTGGGGGAATATCAGGAATGGTGTCCAGCTTTGATGACTGTCCCAGCGTGCCTTCTGGAAATGTCCTTGGAATCTGGTAAGTGTTACCAGGTGTTGGTGGAATGTCGTAACTGATTGATACATGTCTCATCTGAGCTTCTACACTCGAAGTCCCAGATGGGGTATTAAAGACGTAAAGCTCTCCATCTGCTTCAGTACTTGACGGAGATTCCTTTGGCAACACGTCATGGGAATAACTCCTGGGCAGGTTATAGAGGCTGGAGTCTACAGAGACGGATGCAGCCCGGGATGGTGGGCAGTCATACAGCATTTGCTGCTGAAAAAAGCCATTCATCCCATGCTTGCTCTGGGAGGAAGCGGGAGTTTTATGGGAAGGGACGTTGTCATTGCAGTCTGTCTCGGAGGAGGTGAGCTTTGCAGAATCAACGTGGGTTCTGAATAAAATTGTGAATGTCAGAAATAAAATACGGTCAGGACAGACAGATACAGTTTTGACACACATATTACAGTTGAGCAATCAAAACATAGTTTTCTGTTAGATTGTTGTTTTGTGATCCAAACGATTCAAGAAGCATAAATGTTCTTTAGTTGCTTATAATTATAAACCAACAAAACACTGCCACCAAACTGCCTGAAGCATTCTCAGTAATTCTTATACTTGCCCACACCCAGTTGTACCAAGGAAACACACACACACACACACACACACACACACACACACACCCCACAATCTTCAGCATGCAAAACAAAAACAAAAAACAAAAAACTGCCACTGTCCAGTTACACAGTTCATTTATTGCTCTTTAACCAGCCTTGACAAACTGTTCTGCAAAACCAAGTGGGAACTGCAGAGGACATCCAAGGGGATAACAGACTTCTTGTTGTCTTCCCTTCTGTCTGAGAGACATTCAGCCCATGCTATTAAGAGCAACAAAATCCATGACATGGGGTTAACTAAGTCCTAACAATCATGGGAAACCTCATTTGAGAGTAAACCTGCTTTGGATATATTGTTAATATCTGCAAAAAGATTTACTTTTATTATTTTTAAAATTATGGGAATGTGTATGTATATGTGTTTGGGTATGTGCACATAGGCAGGTACCCAAGGAGGTCACAGAGGCATCAGAACCCCTGCAATGGAGTTCCAGGTGCCTGTGAGCTGCCTGAGTAGGGCTGGGAACAGAACTCTGGTCCTCTTGCAAAGCAGAACATGAGCTTAACTTCTGAGCCATCTCTTCAGTCCTGTATATATCTTAGTAACACCTGGGTCTATGTTACATTTGCCCCGGCACCCTCCCACTTTGGGGCAGAGGAGCCCACTATGCTGCGTTACTTACCTCCTCTCTGGCTTTGTTACCCACTGCCTTTTTTCAGGGACTGGCCCCTCCCTCAGTCTCTCCTTAGAAATAAATGGCCACCAAAGCTACACACACTGCCTTAGAGGACTCTTTCTCACATCTTCACCTTCTCCAGGGGATGCTGACAGCTCTCTTCTGCTCATCAAACTCCGAGTCTCCTATTTGCAAGGTCCTATTTCTGCTTGGTCATTGTCTATAATGTACCACCCTGATCCTGTTCACGTACCCCAGAGCAAATTGCATTTCCCTTACAAACTAGCTGTCCTCCTTGACTTGCCTAGACAGAAGTGACTCCACTAAGACTCTAGCTTCAGTATCCTCAAAGCTTGATTCCCTGCGACCCCCTAATACCAGTCAAGCATTGAGTCCTCCTTCTCCTCCCTCTCTCCCCCCCCCTTATCTGTTCCCTGCTCTGTTCCCACTCTACTCCAAGTTCAGACAGATCTCTATGACGTCTGTGGTAGAATATTATTTTAAGGTGTGTAACTTTTGTTTATGCTGCATTTGTTTAACTCTGTGAAGCTGTGATTCTTTGTCTAAAACATCTGATGGTCCTAATAAAGAGCTGAATGGCCAATATGGAGGCAGGATCAAGGACAGGCAGGGCTGGTGGGCAGCGAGAATCAATAGGAGAAAACAAAGAGAAGCAAAAGGAAGAGCAAGAGAACAAGGAGAGGAGGACATCAGGGATCAGTCACCTAGCCACCCAGCCACGGAGTAAGAGTGAAAGTAAGAAATATAGAAGGAAGAAAAGTGAAAAACCCAGAGGCAAAAGATAGATGGGACAATTTAGATTAAGAAAAACTAGCAAGAAACAAGCCAAGCCAAGGCTGGGCATTCATAACTAATAAGCTTCTGTTTGTGATATATTTGGGAGCTGGGTGGCAGGTCCCCCAAAGAGTCCAAAAGTCAAAAGATCAAGAACAGCAACAGACATCCTCAGCACAGATCTTCCCCTTCCAATCTGCCCACTTGAGCTAAAGCCCACATTTTCAAAACATGGTTTCTATAGTATTCACTTAATTAGAGAAAAACCAATAGATTCCTAGAGGCTGTGGGACTATATGGACAAAGACTAGCTCAGAGTTTTGTTGTTGTTGTTGTTTTCGATACAGGGTTTCTCTGTGGCTTTGGAGGCTGTCCTGGCACTCGCTCTGTAGACCAGGCTGCTGGTATTGTACTCACAGAGATCCACCTGCCTCATTACTTATGTATGGTGTGTGTGTGTGTGTGTGTGTGTGTATGTGTGTGTGTATGTGTGTACACATGTGCGCATGTGTCTGATGGGGCCCTGGACAACTTTTTAGAGTCAGGTCTCTCCTTCCACCTTCACATGGGTTCTGAGAATTGAGCTTAAGGTTGTCCAGCTTGTGTGGTAATTGAGCTATCTTACTGACCCTAGTTTTCTCATCTTAAAAATAATACTCAAACTATCCTTGTAGATTTTCAAAAGTAACCATGCATGCTCTGAGATATGCATTTCATTTAGTCTACATGCAGGAGCCCTCAGCAGTTGGAGAAACGAGTATAAAGACGGCTTCTGACTCCTGCCAGCTTACACTCTCTTGGTGGGGAAGGAAAATCATCCAGTGATTTCCAACACCACAGGAACATAGAGATTTGGGCATTGCATAGCTAGCATAAAAACACAGAGAAGGCTGGCAAGATGTCTCAGTGGGTAAAAGCCTTTACCACCAAGCCTGAGGATGGTTCCTGGAACCTACACAACAGAAGGAGAAAACCAACTCCTTTATAAGCTGTCTCCCGTTGTCTACACATGCACTGTGTATGGGCAACTCCCCCACCCCACCACATACACACAAATATAAACAAACAAATGTTAAAAGACAACAATAAAACCCCACCAACCTAGAGTGATATAATTTCAATCTAAGAGACTGGCGACAGGCTTCCCAGAGGAGTGTGTGTATGCACTGAATCCTAGCAGATAAAAAAGAGTGTGTGAGACAATGTCTGAATGTATAAGTACTTCATGCTCATAGTCTCTGGCTTCTTCAGAAGGTTCATATAAGAGTTCCCAGGGCTGCATCTCAGGGGACTATGTCCTATGGAATCAGTTTGTATCTTAACAGCACTGAGCATAATCATGGGCATGGGGTGGCTACTTCATAAATACTGTTATTTAACTGTCACTTCAGCAAAGTATTTTACACAGTAATTTCTAGAACAATTTCTCCTGTAGAAGCAATGATGTACCAGTGAAATTCATGAAAGGCACTGTCATAAAAAGAAAATACACTTAACACTGGCACTAATCAGTTGGTTTCTCAAAAGCAACACACCACCAGAAAGTTACGGTAAGTCTCCAGCAAGTAAAGTCTCAGTTAGTTGCACAGGGCCAAGTTCACAAGTGTGCAATCTTCTATATTCACAGCAAACAAGCACAGTTGAGTTAGCATTTGACAGTATTAACTAGTGTGGACTTACACAATTTTCTTGCTCTTACAGGTAAAATTCCATTATAACAGGCAAAACCATCTGTGGAATGTTCCCAGCTCTTCCACTATCCCAGGGAATGGTTTACAGAAACCATTTCTGGAGGGTTTTAAGTTCTACATTTTTGTTTGTTTGTTTTGTTTTGTTTTCAAGACAGTGTTTCCCTGTGTAGCTCTGGCTGTCCTGGAACTCACTCTGTAGACCAGGATGGCCTTGAACTCAGAGATCTGCCTGCCTCTGCCTCCTGAGAGCTGGGATTAAAGACGTGTGCCACTAAACCTGGCAGGCTCTACATATTTTTTGAACAAGCATTCTCTGTAATCTTATTCTAACCAACAACACTTTTTCAACACTGAAAAAAAAAATTTTTATAAAAACAATAAAGCTTAAATTCCTCAACACCTTGTTTTTATAAACATCTTGTGTGTGTAGTATGCAGGCCACTGCCACTTTTGTACTGTGAACAAAGATACTAGCTGGCAGTCCTGTCACCAATGGCCACGCACGGGCTGTCAGCGGCAGATGCTGGCCTGTTTACTGATCTTCATTTTCCTGTTGTTCTCCGATCTCCTCTGCCACTTTATGCCTTCCAACTTCTCCATACTAACAGCCAAAGATGATCGACAGGACAGGGGTGTGTGTGTGTAGAGGGGGTGACGGCCCTGTACCAAGCAATGGGAAAAGGCCTTTTGTATCCTCTAGGCCAGTCATACACTCCACAGATTTCTTTTTTGTTTGTTTGTTTTTGGAGACAGGGTTTCTCTGTGGCTTTGGAGCCTATCCTGGAACTTGCTCTGTAGACCAGGCTGGCCTCAAACTCACAGAAATCCACTGCCCCTGCCTCCCGAGTGCTGGGATTAAAGGCGTGCGCCACCAACGCCCGACCACTCCACAGATTTCTATTTAAAAACCTGTAAAGTCAATACTTGGAGGTCAGCACTGCTTCATGGCCGAGGGGGAGGTTTGAAAGGGTCACACCTTTTAGCAGTCTTTCTGATTTCATGAAATGTCATTGTCCCCAGTCTGTCTAGCCTCTAGGATTTGCCATATTGGGATTTTACCTGTATTATTAGTTTCTCACACAGATCCAAAACTACAGCACACTCACTGCAATGGGATCGTTTTGCTTTCAAAATCTTCTAGTAGTAGGTACTCCTCGCCTTCTTCAGAAACAAAAGATGACCCTTGGCTGGTTTATAATCACATAAGAAATGGAGCAAGGTCACCATTTATAAGTCAGTGACATCTGTTAAACAAGTAACACTCGAGAATCTATAACAAAGACTGTGACTCTTTTCAAAGAGTCTTGTAGGTTCAACTGTGATGGCCATAATGGCAGAAACCGTGTTTCATCAACGAAAGACCTCCCAGATAACAGAAATCATTGACAAAGGATTGTTATACACCTATAATACAAACCTGCAGTGTTTGTTTTGAGATGGTTCCGTGTAAGTTTCAATGTTTAAAAAACCTAAAGGCTTTTGAATGCACACACACACACATACATGTGCACATATGCGCACATGCATGCGCCCACTCACACACATTTGCACCCACACATATATGATGGCATGTATCATGTACCTGGTGGGTTCGGGCTTCTTGCTTTGACAGTTGATCAGCAAGAGGTAGTCTTGTGGGTCATCCTGGAGGCCTAGAGTCTCTGGGTGAGGCGGGAGGCTGATGAGCTGGTAAGAAGGAGGTAGCGTGACTGAAGAGGCTTCCAGCTGGGTGGAGGCTGGTGCTGTACTTACAGCAAAAGGCGAATCAACCGGTGCTTGGGAGGAGTTGCCAAGGGGCTTCACGGGATCTGCAATAAAGTTTAATTTTCAATCTATCACAGTTTAAGATTCTGTTGTTGTTGTTGTTAGACTAAGTTACTTGGAGACAAACAGCTTTAATGCACGAATAAATGACAACAGTGTTAGTTAAAACAAAGACTACCCAAGGCCACAGGCAGTGCACATGTGCAGTGCTAGTTGTTCTGAAGACTGATGGGGAAAATTGCTCACACTCCAGAGTTCAAGGCCAATCTGGGCAAAAGAACAAGATGGAACCTCAGAACAAAGCAACACATACTATCTAAACAGCAAAATTTATCCGCCAATTAATTCTTGTCAAAGACATCTGAAGGAGACCCTTTCCTTTAGTCCAGGGCCCTAAAGAAGTCACAGCTGGGGCTGAGGAGATGCTCAGTTAGTTGGTAAAGTACCTGCCTGCAAGCAGGAAGGCCACAAGCTGAGATTCCCAAAAAAACAGGTTCCAAAGCCAAGCAGATCGCTAAAGCTCACTGGCCACCTAGTCTAACCCTCCAGACACAGTTAGAGACTCAAAATGGACAGAGATAGAGAAAGACATCTGATATCAACCTCTGGCCACCACATGCATGTACACACGAATACACACATGTCTATACCCACTCCCCATGAGGCCACAATAATATAACCCTGAAAACTATGTAGTCTTGAAACTATGTACATTAAAATAAAAATGTTCTATGACCCCAGCAGGACACATTTTTAATGTTAATTGAATTTAGTGTGCATAAATATCCTGTCTGCACACATGTCTGTGCACTGTGTGCATGCTTGGTGCCCTTGGAGGTCGAAAGAGAGCATTGAATGCCCTGGAACTGGAATCACAGATGGCCACAGGCTACCATGTAGGAGCTGGGAATGGAACCTGGGTCTTCTACAAGGACAGCCAGTACTCTTAACCATTGAGCCATCTCTGCAGCCCCAAGATATAGGCATTTTGTTTGTTTGTTTGTTTTTGTTTTTGTATCTCCCATTCCATGATGAGGAAATGTTTCCTAGGTCAAGCCAACCTTGCAAGGAGACACACTGATGGCCTTGATGGCCACAATGCTGCTGAGTGTTCTTAGGTCTGCTATCCAGGCTATACCTAGGTCATTCTTTCCTTTCTACTTGTCACTAGGCTTGGGGACAATCTGTCGAATTCAGAGGCTAGTAAAGACGAACTCTTAATCTTCAGCATCAGAACCTATGCCCTGTGCTCACACCCACACCAGTCAGTTTGCAGTATTTTCAGAAAAAGACAGCGAGCAAAGAAACAATTCCGAAATCCCTTAACCATGTTCCAAAATGATAAATGAAAATTGTGCAGAAAGATATAACTAGAAAATAAGTTGTACATCTAGAAACAAAACCCTAGCTGGTCTTGGTGGCACATGCCTTTAATCCCAGCATTTGGGGGGTCAGGGGACGACCCAGGCAGGTGAGTTTGAGGATAGCCTGGCCTACAGAGTGTTCCAGGACAGCCAGAGCAACACAGAAAAACCATGTCTCAAAAAACCAACAAAACACAACAAAGTAAAAAGCTCTCTGTAGTTTCTGATATGACAGAGTATAATTTTAAGGGGCCTGACAGACTTTGATTAAACACAAGGCCATCTATAGTCAAGGAAAAGCCAAATACTCAAGATGTGAACAAACAGAAAGGAGAAAGCTGAGGGAGAGTTAGGTGTTAAAATAAAATATGCAAAGAATGCTAAAAAGTGTTAAAGGGGTAAATGTTCCATCAACTCTGATTGAATGTAAGTCATTTAACCTGATGACCTGAGTTCAGTCTCCAGAACTACATGCTGGAGAGAAGTGCATATTGTTCTCTGACCTGTTCTGTGGCATACACACACACACGCACACGCACACGCACACACACACTCACACACTCTCATGTACACACAGGCACAAACACAAATAAACACCCTCACACAAATAAATGATGCCAATTTAAACATTTTGAACTGTGCCTAAATAGTCTCTAATTTAAGATTTCTGCTTAAATTTAGAGTCAAGCAACTGGTCCCCCAAAGACTCCTGTTTGACCTTACAGACGTGTGAGAATTCAGCCTATGCTGGGTTATAAGCTCCATGGTTTAGATCACTCTGCTCTCTGCCTTGTTTGGATTTCTGACTATTTACTCTCTCTATCTCTTAAAATATAAACACTGGTTCAAAGTTTGCATGCACATGTAAAATCACTTCCCACTTCTTAACTTAGAATGCACCAAGAGTATAAAGCATCCATTAAAGGCCTGATAAGGCACTGGAACAAACTCCTAATTGAAATTTACTGAGAAAGCTAATAGGGTCTGCTCAGGCGAGGCCTTCCAGCAAGCAGGCCTTCAGTGCAGAGGGGAAGTTATGATTTGATTAGACCCACAAAGAATAAACTGGCTCATATAGTCTATGTATTGGTCTATACTATTTAGGGCCATCATGCTTTGTGTTAAAGTTAAATATAGAGGATTGACTAGAATGGGGGGCAAGAGAGAAAAGGTGTTTTTTGTGGTAGTGTATATGATCAAAATACACTATGCACATGAATGAAAAGATATCAAACCTACTGTTATATATAATAAATATATGATAATAAAATTTTACTGTCCCAGTGAGATGGCTCAACAGGTAGAGGCATTTGCTGCCAGCTTGATGACCTTAGTCTGTCCCTAGGACTCCCTAGGACCCACATGGCGGAAGGACATGACTCCTTCAGGTTATCCTATGATCTCCATGCAAGCAGTAATTTTCTTTTCAATTCAAAAAGGTCAATCTGATAAATTGATATGAGAGATTCTGTAGTTGTAGTTGCTGTCAGTGAAGCAAACTGTAGCCTCCACAGCTTAACCAACCAAGTGGGACCCTGAGCCAACTTGTTTACTGTGTTTCATGTACAAAGTGTCTCTTAACTTTCCAAGCCTCTATCCCTCACACATTTCAAATACCTTCTTGGAGCCTTTTAATCCTTAGGGGATGCTGACAAATGCCATCATTCTTATCTGAGGTCTGATGTTATGAAAATAAACTGTAGGGGGAATGGTTCAGAAATCTACGTGCCTGGGCCCTACTACAGGATGCCCACTGAATCACGACTGAAACTGAGCAAGAGTTTCAAACAGAAGAAATACACTTTCTGGTTTAATCGCTTCTCTGGGAAACACAAAATAAATCATGAATGTGCCTCTGCGCAGCCACTGGGAAGGACAAGATGAACCACTGACTAATATCAAATGTTGCTAACAATATGGGCTAACAATGTGTCACACACTTCTGGTAGGAAAGCAGTTGGTACAATGACTTTGAAGACATAGAGCTATGAATTCTACAAATGCTAAATTGCAAATATCCTATGATGTGGCAGTTCTACTCACAGGCATGGTTCCAAAAGAACTAAGAGTTAATGTCTATCAATAGACACACACTTCATAATTGTCTTATAGAGAAGCATAGAGAAGCTGGGTTTGATTTCTTTTCTTTCTTTCTTTCTTTCTTTCTTTCTTTCTTTCTTTCTTTCCTTCTTCTTCTTCTTCTTCGTCTTCTTCTTCTTCTTCTTCTTCTTCTTCTTCTTCTTCTTCTCTTTTACTTTATGTGCACATTTGTCTGTGTGAGGGTGTCAGATCGCCTGGAACTGGAGAGCTGCCTATGAGTGCTGGGAATAGAACCTGGGTCCTTTGGAAGAGCAACCAATGCTCCTAACCACTAAGCCACCTCTCCAGCCCTGGGTTTGGTTTCTTACACATATGCTAGGCAGTTCCCAACTACCTGGCAGGAACCCTAGCTTCAAAGAGATCCAATGCTCTTCTGGCCTCCCTGGCACCTGTATTCATACACACCTTTTGTTTGTAGAACAATAAGATGTTCATCTACCAACATCCAGACAGATCTATATTGTATGACAGTCTCAGGAAGGAATGCCGTAATGGGGAAACCCACCACACATTCAACATGGTAACTCCCAGGGACTAAGGTTGGAGGAGGGAAGCCAGACTCAAGGATTCTGCATCTATGGCATTCAAATCATGCAAATTGAATGAATCAACGTAAGTTAAAAGTATCCCAAGTTTTTTAGGTGGGGATATCTCCAGGGAAAAAAAAAAAAAAAAGGATTCTCTGGATGGAGTGTGAATGCTGAAATTCTTAATCTAATCTAGAACTTTATAGCACACTTACATTTATACAGGTGCAGATGGACATATACAAAGGCTTGGAGCAACACATTGATGATCTATGCCTACACAGCAGTAATAATAGATAATGCTTTCATACAAATGGTAAAAAGAGAGCTGGGTATGGTGGTACACACATTAAGTTCCAGTACCAAGAGAGGCAGGAGAATCTGAGTTTGAGACCTGTCTCAAAAAAAAAAAAAGTTAAAAAGAAAAAAAATTAAAGCAATGGTTAACTTATTTATTTATATGTAAGGGTGTTTGCTTGTATTATGTCTGTGAACCACTGGCCTGCCTGGTGCTTGCAGAAGGCAGAAGATGGTATCAGATCCCCAGAACTGGAGTTAAATAGTTGTGAGCCACCATGTGGGTGCTGAGAATTGAACCTAGGTCCTCTGGAAGAGCCACCAGTGATCTTAACCACTGAGCCATCACTCCAGACCCAGTAAAAAGAAACTCAGAAGTTCTTTTTTCCTTTTTTGAGACAGGGTTTCTCTGTGTACCCCTGGCTGTCCTAGAACTCACTCTGTAGATCAGGCTGTCCTTGAACTCACAGAGCTCCACCTGCCTGTGCCTCCCCACCACCAGGCTGGAAGTTCTTGATTAATACTGCTGTATGGAAAAGGAGACACTCGATTCTGCGCCCCCCCCACCCAACGCACACACACCTTCCTTCTTTTCCATCTGAGAAACAGTCTTCTATGTCTGTGTAGTCAAGTATGACCCTGAACTTCTGATCCTCCTGCCTCCACCTCTCAGATGCTGGAGTGTACAGGCATCTACCATCATGCTGGCTTTATGCTGTGTGGAGCTTTGTACATGCTAGGCAAACAGTGTACTAACTGAGCTACATCCTCGGTCTGTGTATATTTTTTGTTAGATGTCAGTGTATCTATCTTACTAAAGGGAAGAATATCAAACTGAGAATTGCATTTTTAAAACTAAACTACTGTGATCTGGATGCTCTGAGAAAAGCAATTTGTGCAGCTTTCTAAGCTCATGCACTAAAATTAGCCCAGAAGTTTTGCTAGATGTCAGTGAGCTTCCTGCAGCCCTGGCTGGACTTCCCAGTGCTTGTTTAGCAAATTTAACAGCTTCCACCTTGGTTCGCCCAAACAAAAAAAGTCAGCCTGCACATTTCCAAGAAAAACAAAAGAAACCAGTTTCTATCCTCAAATCCACTAAAGAAAAGCCTCCATGGGAGCCACACACAGTTTAGTGTGCTAGAATTTAAAAACAGGACAGCCTGCCAGCATTCTGAGTGTTCAATAATAGCAGTGGTCACCTGGGGCAGCGGAAATAACATGGTAATGATATTTTGAGAGGTTCCTGGAATCAGAACATAGGTCAGATTTTTCCCCCTTCCTTTTGTTTTCAGGGGAAAATGAGTTATTCTCACAGGGACCAAGAGGCTTTGCTGTCTGGGCACAGTCTATTTCTTCCCACATCTGGCTTGAAACTCAAACAGTAGAATAGAAAAGCATCTTGAGGTATAAGCCAATGTTTGAGCAAGGACAGTGCATATTCAGCCTTTAAAATTGAGAGCACAGGGCTTAGGGACAGACTCAAGCAAGGCAAAGGTACCTATAACTGTTAGGGATTCGTTATGAGGTATGATTGTAAACAACAGGACATAGATTGGTGGCAGAGGGACTAGAAAGATGATCCACTGGTTGAGATCACTGGCTGCTCTTTTAGAGGATTCTGGTTTGATATACAGCACCACAAGGCAGCTTACAACTGTCTGTAACTCCAGTCCCAAGGGACCCGACACCCTCTTCTGGCCTCCTCAGGTACCAGGCATGCATGTGGTGCACACAGATATAATACCCATACCCATTAAAAAATAAATGCCCCCCAAAAACCTGTCTGCAATTCCAGATCCATGGGATCTGATACCCTCTCCTGACCTCTGCTGGTAACACACACACACACACACACACACACACACACACACGGTGTGCATATATATATTTATACATGCTGGCCGAACATCCAAATACATACTGATAAAAAATAAAATTTAAGCTGGGTGGTGGCATACACCTTTCATCCCAGCACTTGGGAGACAGAGGCAGGTGGGTGGTTCTCTGTGAGTTTGAGGCTGGTCTGGTCTACAAAGTGAGTTCCAGGACAGCCAGGGCTACACAGAGAAACCCAATGAATAAACAAACAAACAAACAAAAATAAAATTTAGCCAGACACACACACACACGCACGCACGCACGCACGCACGCACGCACTTTTTAAACATGGTAGTTAATGGGGAACATAGACAGTCCAGTTCTTATCACATAAAGCTAATATGACCAGAAAGCTCTTCTCCACTGTTAGAATTCAACACAGATCTTCAGAAAAGCAGAATGATGGAGTACATTGATCTTTCTGGCTCTCTAATTAATATGACACAATAATCAGTCATCATCTATAGATTTATTTAAGAAACTCAGCTTATATGTCAATACAGTATATCAAGATATTTCTAACAGTGGCTATTTGGGGGAGACAGCCAGAAGGAAGCTGTGAAAAAATATGAAGTAATAACATCTAAAATATAATTTCTACTCTATTTATATATAGTTCATGAGCTATAGAAAAAATCAGGGAAACTGAAACCACAGGGATAGATGGAAATGAACAAATAAGAAGGACTTATGATTAACAACGCTGTTCTGGTAACCAGCTCACAAATCACACATTCCATGTTTGAATAATGATTATATTAATCAGCCCACAATCTTCTACCCTTCACACATGATCTCAAAGACACAAAGAGCATAACTTCAAAGTCTCACTCAGCCCAAATATACAGCTAACTGATTTCTAAGGACTTCAGAGTTCGGCCACTAAAAAGGTCACTGTAGCTTTGGGTTTTATCTCTAAATACCCTCATCAAGCTAGTTTGTAAAGCAAACACTGACACTGTAACCAACTGATTCTGACATCTAAAAATCAAGGAAAATGTTTCATTAAATATATTTTTTAAAAAACCACTCAGTACATTTATCACACAGCATTTAAAATGTGTCCTTTTCATGAAAGTAGAAATGGCACGCCTGAAGGGGGGAGAGGTCAACAGGTCAAAGGGGGGACAATGGGGGGATGGGATATATATATATCACAAAAGCTCAAGGGACAAAGGAGGGGGATGAGCAAGGAGTGAAGGTAGGGAGGGGTCAAGGGTCATGGGGGAGTGAAAAGAACAAAGCATATTGACCCACATGTATTTCACAATCTATTACACATGGAATCTATTTTTTATATTATAACAAACAATTTATTAGCAATGTTCTCAGGCCAGTAAGGTTTCTAAGTAGGTAAAAGCACTTGCCATAAACCGGAATTAAAGCTCCAGGATTTACTTACATGGTGGAGGGAGAAAACAAACTTCTACAAGTTGTCTTTTGACCCCCCCACTATTGACCCCCATGTCACATTGTAGCATGCACCTCCCCAAACTACTAAAATTCAAAAATTTAAAAACGTTTCTTATCACTGTCTTCATGAGAGCAGTTATTTAGACACTGGCCCCTTTCAATTATGTCTCTCAAAACCTGTAGAACTATCTTCTCTCCAAACTTCCTGAAGAGTTCAGTGTTTGCTCTAAGTGTCAAACTCCTGTTGCAAAAACAAAATAATGGAGCATATAACTAAAACAAAAAAGAATTTTGTAACTTTCTAAATCTATAGAGAAAAAAAAAAAAAAAAGCACTGCCCAATCTAATAACAAGTCCTTAGGCTCTGGGTCTGGAGACAGATCCAGGTTCAATTCTCAGCCCTCGAACACTCAAAACTATCTGTAACTTGACGCCCTCTTCAGGCCTCATCAGGCACTGCAATGCATATGGTGCACAGACATACAGGCAGGCAAACACAATCCATACACATATAATAAATTTTGAAAGAGTAAACAAAACGGGGCCTTTGAACCTACCTTCTTCTGTGGGATTGAAGCCACAGATGTCACAAATACAACGGACCCACTTGTTCATGTCCTCCTCACTGTCTGCGACCAAGTAGAAAATCCGGTCAATGGTGTTGATATCAAAGATGTAGCTGTTTTCAAACTCCTTCTTGTTGAATGTCAACCCAGCATCAACTTGCTGACATAAATTTAAATCAATAATCCGGATAGGTTTCTTGGCGTGGTCATTTTTGTAATACTCCAGGACATCGGGGTCTCCAGTCAAACGGCCACTTCGCAACACGAACCACCTCCTTTTCCATGCCTAGAAAAAAGCACAACACCCGCCTGCCATCAGGAAGGAACATTTTGTGGCGATGCACGTTTACTAAGCTAATTTTATAACAGCATTGTTTGAAAAAGTTGTAATATCTTGTGTCAGCTCTCCTATGACACAGCAAATCGTCTCAATGAATGATGTTGGGAAAATCAGGTCAGACATTATGCTAAGTGAAGGAAGCCAACCACAAAGTTCTAACATGGTGATCTTGTTATATGAAGCAAGTACAGTAGCTAAATCCAGAGTGGGGGGGGGCAGGCAGAGACAGACAGAGACTGAGACAGAGAGAGTAGAATAGCGGTTGTAAGACTGGTACAGAAAGGGGTAGAGAAGGTTCTAGAGTAGTCAAAGTGAAAGTACTTAATACCGAACTGGTTACTTAGAATTAGTTAAAACGGTAAATTGCCGGTTATTTTACCACTTTAAAATGGCTTTCTGTATCTTACAATGTCAAAGAAGGGCTGGAGAAATGGTTTGGTAGGAAAGAGTCTGCTGTGCAAGCAGGAGGGCCCGAGTTCAGGTCCCCTACACCCATATTACAAGCTGGACGTGGCTGTATTTGTATCTCTATCCTCTGCTATACAGGACAGAGACAAAGAGGGTGGCTGGGGCTTTCTGGTCACCAGCCTAGCTCTGTGTTCAGTGAGAGATGGTGTATCAAAGGAATATGGTAGACCATGACAAAGTGGGTCATCTGATGTCCTCTTTGGGCCTCCATGAAATGACACACACGAACACTGTTCCCACCCCTACACACAAGAGGATATACTCATTATGCTTCTTTGTAAGATTTTAAACCATAAAATTTTAAAATAAAGAATTCTGCTTTCTCAGTAGTGAGACAATGGAAGAGGGAGAGATGGGCTTGGATGCTTTCCTGGTTGCTTCCCTGAGCAATGAGCTGCCATCCTAATGGTATTCTAATCTGTTGTTCTAAAACTACAGAGACCTGTATTCCTTGTCATATTTCTCTTCCCAACACATACACGTACTCATGACACACAGACACACACACACACACTACACTCAGCATTTCCTTCCTCTGTCTTTAATACCATTCCTGGAGAAGGCTGGGGTAGTTAGATGACTTAGTAGTTAAGAGCACTGGCTGATCTTACAGAGGATCCAGATTCAGTCCCCAGCACTCATGTGGCAGCTCAAACCATCTGTAACTCCAGTTCCAAGTGATCCAACAACCCCTCTTATGGCCTCCAAGGACACCAGCACACATTTGATGCGTATACACACATGCAGACAAAACACTCAACACATAAAATTAATGAAATAAATAAATCTAAAAAGAATCTTTAGAAGAGGCTGTAATCCTTACCATCAACTTCTCGGAAGGCTATATTCTTTGGGTAAAGCAGGACTAGATGGCTGACGGTCTTCTTTGTCATCTTTGACCCCCCACAAATCTGGCCCTGGATCCAAACCAAGCCTCATTGCTCTTTGAGCTTTGTTCTTTGGCATAGACAGCTAAATAGTAAAAGGCGGTATATCTCAATTACATCCTAAGAGGCATCTACACTCCAGAATGAACCCTGGAGACAAGGTTTCCCAAAGATGGCACTCTGAACTGCAAGGACTGAGACATGCATTTCTGCAGGTCTAGAGGCATCACATGTGGCCACTGTTTCGCTCAGTGCACAGTATATCGATGTTTTAGTTTAGGAAAACTGTACCGCACACACCGCACATCCTTCCAGGAAGGAGGAGATAAAGTCACTTCCATACTCAGTGTTTTCAGTCCACCCATCACCCGATAGGAGTTTGGTTTCCTATGGTCTCAGACGGAGAGTGAGCTTCATGTTTGTGCTGCTAATGTAAGTTGACCCCCAACTCAAGTACTCCCTTGTCTTCATTAACACTATCTATGTGTGTTCATCAATTCCAAGTAATCCTGTGTCTTCATTAACACTACAGATGTGTGTTCCCCAACTTAAGTACTCCTGTGTCATTAACACTACAGTTGTGTGTTCATCAACTAAATACTACTCTGTCTTCATTAACACCTATAGATGTGTGTTCATCAGAAAGTACCTCTTCTTTAGAAACACCAAAAGCAAAATGACAAGTGCTCCACATCTTCCATGAATCCCAAATCTGGCAAATTTAACTAACAGACATTGTAATAGCAATTTAAAAACAGCTTCATTTTATTCTGAAAACATATGAAAAAGGGATTAATAACTAATATAATATCCATTTCTCTAGCATATATCTTAGGTTTTGCCTCCACATCAGCCAAATTGTATAATAAATTTGGGCGGAAGTGCTATGAAGGCACAAAAGAAGGGTCTGAGGTAGAGGGGATGGATTTAATAATTCTCATACTGTACCCACAAATGAATTAGCTTGGGTGACAACTTTAGGTTTAATATTTTAGAAATATTTTAAACTATATCAATGATGTAAATTTTAAAACTACTTTAAATTATATCAAATTAGGTGAATTAAGAAAAACATCTATGAGTTAATCAATCAATGAGTTCTTGATTATTCTGAAAAGACTGAACCAGATACTAGTGAGAAGACAAATAAGCTACTTGGGCCTGTAAGCTCCAAGGAGTGTCCCAACAGTGAAAGAAACATTTCACATCCATGCAAACACTTCAGGATATAACAACGCTGGCAAAATACCCACAGTAACAACAATAAATGGACAGGTATTCATTTATGTAAAATTGTCCTTACTGCAATTCTTGTTTTGGGGGAAGGGTTTGAGATGTTTTTTCTGTGTAATCTTGGCTGTTCTGGGACTCACTCTGTAAGACCAGGCTGCCTTTGCTCCCCGAGTGCTGAGATTAAAGCCATCAACATGCAATTTTTCTTCTTAATCTTCTTTAGATTATTTATTATGTATACAGTGTTCTGCATGTATGCCTGCATGCCAGAAGAGGGCACCAGATCTCATTATAGATGGGTGTGAGCCACCATGTGATTGCTGGGAATTGAACTCAGGACCTCTGGAAGAGCAGCCAGTGCTTTTAATCTCTGAGCCATCTCTCCAGCTCCCAACATGCAATTAACTATCAGTATTTTATTTTTCTTTCTGTGGAAGCAGGATTTCATGTATCCTAGGCTAGCCTTGAACTCTTGATCTTCCTGTATCCTGGGATTAAAAGCATGTAAAGACTTGGTCTATGTGGTGCTGAGGACCAAGCCCAGGGCTTCCTGCATGCTAGGCCAATGGAGCTCCATCCCCCACCCTAATACCAGTATTTTAGATTAACTTTCCAAGGAAATAAAGAATGTGCCCAGAAGAAGGCAGCATGACATTCTGTGGATGTTCCAAGTAACAGGAAATCACGAGGTGAGAGATACACATGAATGTAGTACAGGATTACATAAATCCACTTACCTAATTCAAATAATCAACAGCCATCCTAGTCAAATGACCACCTTTTCCGGGTGTGGCACACACACACACACCTAAGAGTACGCACAAGACTCTGCAAGACTCCGCACTCCCCTTCCCCCTACTAAGCCTGACACAGCAAGGGAGAAGTAGAAAAGAAAACAGTATTATTTATGCAAGGCCATCACAGGAACCTCTCTCTGCTTAGTGATTTTTCCAGATTGAAGAGGTTCTGTCTTTAACTACAGAAATGACTTTTAAAATTTTAATGGCTCACAAAGAAATCTTTCTGAAATGCCTTACTACATAATTCATCGAACATAATTCATCCATTCCCCAATGACTCAGGCTGAACAGTAAAAGTATCAGCTTCTAAACTGCATCTCAGTGAGGACCTCAGAGGCTGCTGGGCTACGGAGGGGATCAGCTCCACACTGAACAAGCCCACTTTGGGGTCTGCACAGTTCCCCTAATAGGTTTTTTTAAAGTATAATTTACAACACATACGTGTGTGTGTGTGTGTGTGTGTGTGTGTGTGTGTGTGTGCCCATGAGTGTGTGCATGCATGTAGAGGGTAGAGGTCACCCTTGGATGTCATCCTTGGATGCCACCCTCAAACATTGCAACCTTGATTTTAATTTTTTTAGATTGATCTCTCACTCATCTGGAGTCTGCCAAGGAGGCCAGGCTGTCTGGCCTGTGAGCCCCCATGATCTGTCCCTATTTACCTTTCCAGGGCTGGGTTTATAAGCACATCCCAGCATGCCCATCGTTTATGCATGGGCTCTGGGGATCTAACTCCAATCCAAATGCTTGCATGGCAAGTATCTTCTCCCGTAAGCACCTTCCAGCCCTGCCTACTATCCTTCAATCGTGGTCTCTAGCCTCTCTCCTTACATTTTATCATCTATCTTCTGTCTTTGAGAGACAAACTCTTGCATATTCTTTTTCAAAAGTCTATTATGTACCCGCCCCCAACCTTCTTGGCCTTTCCTTCCATGGCTACCTTCAGAGTTCCCAAAGGAAATAAAGTTGTACAGTTTGGAGGAATATTAAATGCATTCATTGGCCACATTAAAGGGAGATCAGTGCTTTCCAAACCTCTTCTATGTGAGAAAGACATACATGTAAAAAGCATGTGTAAAATAACTGCTCCAAAACGCTGCTAGTGTGGTGGGAAAACTATAAACCTAGAAGAGAATGGGTTTGTTACTCTTCCTGGGTGCCTTTGAGAAACTTTCAAGTAGCACTTCCTGTGTCCTGTTTAATCAGCTTCCCTCATTTGGTCTTTGCCATCAACAACATCGAAAAGGCCTTTAGAAACTGCACTAGTCACAATGGCCAGAGACTACAGGAGCTGAGCAGACACCATCCAAACAGAACCCCTATGACAGGAAACGGCAGCATTGAAACACAGAACCAAGCTAGGCGGCACCTGCCACTTATTTATTTATTTGTAGCATGGTCCAAATGTGAACGTTTGTCTCGGTCACAAAATGAGTCACTCTCATTGAATCTGGCACCGATGAAACGGAAAAACAAAAGCAATTACATAAACTCACACTTTAACAAGGCAGATACAAAGGTCCTCTGGACTGTGGGACAAAGCACAATTTAGCCACAG